TGTGTAAAATTCGCGCGAATTTTACACATCATTCATTACATTATTTCGATTTTTTTTTTTTCGACATTTTTATTTTCGACATTTTTTGTTTTCGACATTTTTCCTTTCGACAATTTTTTTCTCGACATTCTTGATTTTCTAACAATTTTTTTTTTAAATTTTTTTTCGGTGTTTTTTGTTTCGACAATTTAAATTTCGACGTATCGTACCAGACCCTTAAATTATTTCTCCTTGGCCTGACTTTATTCAACATACGCTTCAATTTCTTTGTGGAAGTCACTGTCGGATTTCCTATATCGACAGTGGTGTCGACTGCGTTCCGATTACGAATATAGCTTTTTCAGCCGAGTACCTTCTTGTTAGCAAAAATTTTCCCAGCACGAACTGGCAACTTCCCCTCCAATTGAAATGTCAAAATTGTGCTCTCTCCTTACAAGTTTTACTGGGTTTTTGGCCAAACGAACACGATTTGGTAACAATTGGTACCAACTTGTACAAGTTGTTTTACATAGCGAACACTCTTATTCTCACTTTCAATCTCAAACAACAACAATTGTGAACAATTTAATTTTTTTATTTTAAATTTTATATGATTTTAAAATGCATGCAAACGTCAGAAAAAATCATGGCCGACGAATTGAGAGAATGAATTTACCTAGTAATGTTTTTATCATGCTTGAGGTGTCCAAAAAGTTTCTTTTTACATCTAGGCTTTTGCAAATGGTCTAGAGATCTCCAGACTCCTTACATGCCGAACTCGCTCTAACAGTTCAACGACTTTTTCAGTGGGTGGTCGATCCGAGCAAGGTGCGTCTTCAACATCGGAAGTTCCGGAACAAAAGCCTGCGAATTATTCTTTTGCGGCACTTTTCCACACAATACTATTCCCATAAACACCACTGATTTCTAGGCTGCCTGTTGCCTGTGCTGCATTCTCTTGGCTTTCCAAATTACTCTATTTCTCCACAAATTACCATTATTACTTTTGATTGGAATAATGGAACTCTAGCTCTAAATGCCAACTTTTAAATTAATATAAGCATGCTGCAATGCGCAGAGTACAAAGTACGTTTAAAAAAATTCGAATATTTTATTTTCAGATACGAAAGTTAATATTGGAAATGGTTCATCGACTACCTATCAGTGAAAATTTACGCCAACATGTAAAGCCTATAATATCAGTTATGCTCAAGATTCTTCGGAGCGACAATGAAGAAAACGTTCTTGTTAGTCTGCGAATTATAATTGAATTGCATAAACATTTTCGTCCATCATTTAATCCTGAGGTAAGTTTTAAAAACATGTACATATGTCAAGTGAAATAGCACCCTCATTTCAAAGTGATATTGTTTGCCACTAATGTTTATTTATTAATTTTTAGGAATGTTCAATTAAATTAAAGTTCATTCCCTAACAAAACCCATGTAAACCCAAGTTGAAGACTTTGTACAAGACTAAAAAAAAAATGGAACAAATTTTAACCAAAATTTCAAACTTTTTTCTCAGAAGTGCTAGATTTTTTTTGAGTACACAGTTTTATAGCCCTTTCAAATTTAGTCTTAAAAGTGTGCAAGTTTAAAGTGGCTAAAAATTACCGTTGATTTTTTAGAATTGTGTTTGCCGGAGGTGTTGCGGGTTTCTTCGATATAAAAATGAATTATGTTTATTCGTTATATGGAAGCAAATGGGGCAAAAAAAAATTCAAAAAAAATCAACTGTAATTTTTAGACACTTGAAACTTGCACATTGTCAGACGGTTAAGGATTTCTTAAAAAATTTACTTAAAATTGGAATCCAGCAAAAAAGTGTTTTTTTCATATTTAAAAAACTTGGGCGTGACACTCTGAACCAGAAAGCTACTTCTGCTGTGTATGCCAGAGAAGACTCCACCCGAACTCTTCGGTTAGGTGCAATACTTGCAACAGAACCGAGAGACCTGCTCAAGCCTTTGGTCACACAAGGAGTAGACCACACGGCTCAAGCTAAATGGCAACTACAGCCTCCACGGCGACCTACTTCCCGCCCCAACTGCCGCATAAGGACTTACCAGCAGCTCTTGATCTTTCACATCGTCGCTTTAGTCCAGAATATGACTATGCTTTGGCTGGTTTTTACCTTCCTTTTATTAGCTCGGGATACAACGGTCCCTGTTGTAGAGCTCTGCACCAGCAATCGTCTGACGCGACGACGCCAAAAACCACAGCCAGTCAACAACTTCAACAGCGGGAAGCAGAACACCACTTACTCGTCCCTCACTCGCCGCATCGTGCCCCGCCTCTCAAGGCACACGAAGAAACTACAACTGAATTGCACCGGAGTCCAGGGCAGACAGCAGCAGAGCAGAGAGGCAACTCAATAAACAGCGTATCATGGCGACCTATGCTGACTTTGGCATCAGACCACCTGCCCACAGTCATATCGATCGATAAACCAACCGACTATGCTTCCGCGAAACACCGGACCTTTTTAATTTTTCTATAGCTGATTGGAAAGGCTTCGCGGAATTTACTGAGAGCACCTTCGCTGCGCTCCCCACACCAACCGACATCCACCTTGGTGAAATAAGTTCCGCAGGGTTGTCACTGTTGCTGCAGCTCGCTTTGTACTTCCCTGCTGAAGCGGCTGTTCTAGCCGATGAGCGTGACAACCTTCGTCAGGCCGATCCCGGAAATCCTCGTACCAGGGATCTTAAGGCAGAGATTCGGAAGCTTGTGAACGTACATAAGGAGAAAAAGTGGGAAGAGCATCTGAAGACTTGTAACTTCGCCTCTGGTGTGAGTAAGCTTTGGTCAGCCGTGAGGTCATTGTCCAACCCGACGAAGCAACGACTGAGTTGAAATAGACTTTGGCGACAACGCTTCGTCGGACCCGGAGCGTTACGAGAGCTATTTTAGCCGGCAGTTCATATTGCATCCTCCGATGAATAAAGCCAAACATCGAGAGACCAAAAGGCTGCACACACTGCAAAAACCTAGTGCGCCTCCTGTTTTCACCAGCGGTGAGGTAAGGGTAGCCATCGGGAAGGCGAAAGCCTCCAAAGCAGTGATGCTAAACAAACTATGAATCGATTTCGTTTTGTTGATGCGCAAAAATAACTTATCAAAATAATTTCGTTTCGTTTCAGAGCTGAATTAACGAACAAAACTCAATCGTTAACGTTGAAACGAAATAAATCATCAATCGTTGACATCGAAACAAAATAAATCAACGAAGAGTTGTTGTTGTATGCCATTGCCAGCTCACTATTAAAACCTAGCACCTAAATGCATGCTACAACTTCAGCATTAACGATTGAAATCCTTTTCGTTAAAAACCGAAATAGAATTATCTTGATAATTACCTAAACGATAAAAAACTGAATCGTTCCAACAGAAAGGATTGATTTTTTTTTGGTAAACGCTAAAATTAATGTTACGATGCATCCTTGCTCCAAAGCCATTGGACCCGACGGCTGCTGAAAAATTTGGGTCCTGCGGGAGTAGCGTTCCTAACGGACGCCCTCAATCTGTCAATGGCCACTCTCGTCATTCCAGACATCTGGAAGATGGGGAGAGTGGTCCCACTGCTCAAACCGGGGAAACCAGCCAACAAAGGAGAGTCTTATCGTCCGATAACCCTCCTTTCTCCGGTGACGAATACACTAGAAACCTTGCTACTCCCGTATATTACGAACCACCTGACCCCAGCGAAGCAGCAGCATGGGTTCCGTAAAGAGCACAGCACAACAACAGCACTTAACGTCATAAATACGCAGATAACTCGTGGCCTTAACCGGAATCGCCACTGTGAGAGAACCATTCTAGTAGCGTTCGACCTGTCGTAAGGCGTTCGTAACTGTCACCCATTCAACCCTACTAGAAGACAAAGAGCCTCGTCTCTCCCACAGGGACTCAAACGGTGGTCGGAGAATTATCTGAGTGGTCGTCACTCGTCAGTAACTTTTAGAGAAAAATCGAGCAAACTTACGAAAATTAAACCAGGGGTTCCACAGGGAGGTGTCCTCTCCCCATTACTGTTTAAATTTTACATCTCAAAGCTTCCTCAACCACCAGAGGGTGTCTCGATGATCTCTTCTGCTGAAGATTGTTCGATAATGGCGTCTGGGAATGGAATTGATAACTTGTGCTCGAAAGTAAACGGCCAGGCACTTCAGGGGCATCTCTACGAACTGACGGACGAAGTCCAGAGGTTCATCAAACAACCTGTGGACCCGCCAGCTTATCGACAGGCCTTGAATGGCATTCACAGTGAGGAAGTCTCGAGTTATGTAGACTCTCGACCTGTGAATGCCGTTCTGGGTACACAACCAACCAGACTTGGACGAGATAGAACTTCGTCTGCCTCGGAGACTTGGACCACAATAGCCCAACTGCGCTCTGGTTACTGCAGCAGGTTGAACTCATACCTAAGCAGATTAAACGAGGATGTTCTAAACGAATGCCCGGCATGCGGAGAGTCGCCCCATGACTCATAGCATCTTTTCGTATGCCCTCAGGATCCCACCCTTTGAACCTGGGACCTCCTGAAAGCTAACAAATAGTACCACACTTCTCTGCACACTCAGCTATTGGCGAATACGTATACATGTTTTCAAACGCTCAACTTGAACAAATATTTTAAAGTTATTGTTTTGAAATAAGATGATGACATTTTTCGGATACGAAAAAGGAACAAATCTGGAAATCGTTTTCTGGACGTTTCCGGATACGAAAAATGTACGAAAACTGCACTTTCGGCAAAAAGTACGTTTCTCTGCTGGCTGGGTTAGTTTTCGTTGTGAATGTGTTTAACTTACATATGTAAGTGTTAGATTATTAGTTTACTTGGCTGAAATCACTTATATAATATATATTTCAAATATTCTATCGTAATTTTGGAAGCTCCTTCCATACACATGTACATGCAATAAATACATACTATGTATACTAGCATTTGTATATAGAACATTTTTTATTGGTATTTTGAAATTATTTTGAATAGGTTCAACACTTCCTTATATACGTGAAGGATATATATACAGAGTTGCCAAACCATATGAATAAAATATTCGAGCAGAAGCAGCAACCGATGCGAGTAAAAGATCTAAAGGAACTAAATATTGACCATCTGCTGTCTATTACTTATGCTCCTAGGGTCATACATGTCGAAAATATGCAAGAATCCTCACCACAAGTAGTAAGATATTTTAATACATTATTTACATATAGACCATAAAATTGAATATATATATTCCAGTTTAATCTTTTGCCTAAAGGAGTTTTGTCATTAAGAGTATTACAGGAGTTGCCCATTATCGTTGTTTTAATGTACCAGATATATAAAACTGCAGTTCACCAAGAAGTTTCCGAGTTTATTCCTTTGATTATGACTACAATCAATTTACAGCCATCCGCGCAGCAAAGGTAGGCATAAGGACTATTACATTTTATTAAAAATCTCGAATAATGCCTTTAAACATTTAGGAACTCTGCGGATCTTAATAAAGAAATATTTGTTGATTTTATGGGCGCTCAGGTGAAAACATTATCCTTTTTAGCCTACATTGTTAGGATATTTCAGGTAAATATGAATATATAAATTAATCACAGTGATGTTGGATGCAAAAGAGCCATGTCGTTTGTAAATTATTATTGCTTTTTTATAAAAATATAGATGACTCTATAATATATGTAACCATTATCCAAACTCGGCAACACGTCGTTGTTCCATTTCATCGAACATCACTGTATGTATCTGACTACGGTTAGTTCGCAAAAATCAAACTAATGAAAAATTTAAGGATTTGATACTTACACATTCAGCATCAGTTACAAATGGAATGCTTAGTCTGATGGAATTGTGTCCTAAAGAAGCAGCTCATTTAAGGAAAGAATTGTTAATAGCTGCACGACACATTTTCGCAACGGACTTACGGCAAAGTATAGCATTTCGTACTATTTATTGATTGAAGTTACTGAAGTGTTTTATTTTAGAATTCGTGCCTATAATAGAAAAGCTTTTCAATGAAGATCTCTTAATTGGAAAGGGAGTTACTTTGGAATCTATTAGACCGTTAGCATATTCTACTTTGGCGGATTTGGCCCATCATGTTCGGCAGAGTCTGTCTTTGGATGTGCTTGAAAAAGCAGTAAATTTGTTTTCAAAAAACGTTCACGATGAGTCTCTGGCAACTGGTATACAAACCATGTCTTGTAAATTGTTGCTAAACCTAGTGGACTGCATCAGGCAGCACAGTGAATTGGATGCAATCAAAGCAAGAAATATATTGATATCCTTGTTAAAAGTTTTCGCTTACAAATTCAAAACAATAGCGAAAATTCAATTACCTACAATTATACAAAAGTGGTAAGTTGATGAAAAATCGCAATTAATGAAAACTATAAATAACGCCCGAAAATATGGGTGGTCTGTGGTTTAATATATCTGCATATTTTTTTTTAACATACCAATTTACTTATGTAAGTACTTCATGAAAACTATATTTGCAGTACATTTCTTTTGGTAGTTAATTTTATCTTTGGTATATCCGCAAGATCAGCAATGCGTAAAGCAGTCCTTTTTTAGGCAAACAGCAATGCTTGCTGTGGTCATACCCTGAGACTTAGGCCCCTATTATGAGTTGCATTCGATCTTCGACTGTGGTCGAAAGTGCGGATCGAACGAATTTTCATTTCGTATTATGACGCTTATTCGATGAAGAATAGTATATTTTTCACCGCTGAGAAAATCGAGCAAACTAAAAAGTGTGCTTATACATATTAATGTAAATTGGTGCAAATTAAAATGAAATAAAAAAGCGAGTTTATAAAAACGTGGTAAAATGAGTACAACGGAGTTCTGGTTCAACGAATCGTCAGAGGATGAGAGCTTAGTAAACTGGCCAGGAGTAGCAAATGTTTAAAAGAGTTTAAGTGTAGCCTTTCGAATATATTTTGACACAAAATATATTTAAGAAATTTGTCTACAGATATATTACATAGTTCCGACTGTCTAAAGAGGCGTTTGTGAGCCAAATCTATTTATAATATTTTAAAACTATCAACATATCTACGATTTTGTTCTTAGACATCGTGCCAACTGAGTATTGGGATTTTCTTTCACAAGTAAAACCAACCTTTCGAGTGTGTGTTTTGTATTCACGACGTTAGAACTGCATGAAATTAATAAAAATTGTTTAAAATTAGTGTCTAGCCGTCAAACAGTAAGAAAACAAATACAAAAGCATAAATTTTTCTAACACTTCGCTACACCATCGAAAGCAAATTTCTGTTCGATAGAAAATTCGATACTCAACAAAAATTTCGACACGGTTGCATAGCTCATAATTAGAATTTCACTTTCGATCTTCGATAACCAGTGTATTTGTACCATGAAAAACAGCTTCTCATAAAAATACAATCGCCGTTCGGAGTCGGCGTAAAACTGTAGGTCCTTTCACTTTGTGTGGCAACATCAAGGCGCACGCCACAAATCGGAGGAGAAGCCAAACACTAACATATGTGTAAGCGCCAATCTTATTATTATTATTATCGTTAATTTAGTACAAATTTGTATTCCATTTTATTGTATATCATACAAAGGGGCTGCAAACTTGTGGCAAATGTCGCATACGAAAAAATTTTACTTAAGAAAATCCTTCATAAACAATCTTCCTTCATGACAATATTTTACCCAGGCGACGAAATGTACATAAATGCGTGCAATATATTAAGATATTTTATATATTAATACACAAACATGCTCTTTTTGGTACACTTTTGAATTATTTCACCTTCACCGATTTTGATGAAATCAAATTAAGTGGAGGTAATTTAGAATTTAGTTTTTAGCATTCCACATTGAGGCTGCACGCTTCTTGTAGCTTCCGTTAGGTGAGCTTGACGACAACGACTGAGATATTAACCGATCTGGACGGCGTTGTTGTAGACGCTACAACAACAACAACAACAGATATAAGAAAAAACTGATAGATTATAAGAATAACAAAATACAGATTTTTTTATACCTGAAAAATCCACAACATTTTCAAAAACAAACAAAAGGAAGCCAAAAAATTTTAAACTATCGTAATGTACCCACTCGAAATACATACCTACATATCTACGGTCACAATTATGTAGTGCATGTTTAACATATCAGTCCGTCTAATTTCGAAAATCACTCAAGGTATTTTTAAAGGATCCTTTCCTTTGTTCTTCCTTTCCTTGGTTCTTAGAATTAACATTAGCCTTGACTTTATTAACCTATTTGAATTTAAGTTTTCCTATAATTTCACTATACATTTTTCTTAGTATAATTACACTGGTTTACAGCAAAATTGTTCTCTAGACGCCACTATCCAATTCCTATGTAAATTGCTCGGTGATTCCGAAAATCGAGTTAATTTTTTTTTCAATGGATACTTTTTCGAGATATTTGAATTTACCGTTACTCAGCTTAAAGCAAAAATTGGTTCCTTTTAATCACGTATATCTTACGAACCAATTTAAAAATCTTAATATAAAATACGGCAAATGAAAGCCAATGAAATTCAGTAGTAAAGCAGTAAAGCGTGTTACTCATACGCCACGTACACCCGAGTAATACGCTTTACTGCTCTTATTTCATACAAAAAATCTTTGCGCATTATCATTTGACCACTCATATTTCGTATTTGTCTATCGATTTTCTTCAGCAGTAACTTGATTTTGTTTTGTAACAGAACAGGCTTTAGTACAAATGCAGAAAATTTGGCACAGAACCTGTTATTTTTTAAATTTTTCTTCTGTAAAATATTGATTTATTCTCATTTTTTCATAAAAAAAAAAGCTGGAATGATTAATTAATTTTTCAGAAACTATAAGCCCTATCGGAAAGTGATGTATATACGGTTTGTTTTATGTTAAGGTTTTTAAATTGGTTCGTAAGATATACGTGATTAAAAGCAACAAATTTTTGCTTTCAGCTGAATAACGGTGAATTACAAATATCTCGAAAACGTATCCATAGAAAAAAATTAACTCAATTTTAGGAATCACCGAGCAATTCTAGTAAACACTCGTACAAGAGTAAAAACACTCGTATTTCAAAATGGCTCCATTTCTTATAAAGCCATCGCATTTCTGGCTAGTATATCCAACTTTTGGCAAAAAATATCAATTATGCGGTTATTCAGAACGGCGATACGCGGGTTTGTACTTTAAACGTTGATATGTAAAACAGCCCGCCAGTCATTTCTCTTCTGTGCCAACTGACGCCAATTTGAAATGCAAAGTAAAGCCAAGTCCTTCTCCACCTGGTCTTTCCAATGCAGAGGAGGCCTTCTTCTTCCTCTGTTACCAGCATCGCAGCCCGCGTTGAATATTTTCATAGCAGGAGCGTTTCTGTCCATTGGAACGACATGACCAAACCAATGGAGCCGCTGAATTTTAATTCGCTGCACTATGTCTATATTTTCATTTCATTTCATTTCATTTATTAATAAAATCATTAGCACAATAAGATCAAAAGAATGATCTTTTACAGCGCAACAAAAAAATTCATAACAGCACATACATATAACTAAAACAGCAAAAATTACTTAAGACTAAATAAAAGTAACATAATATAATTAACAGAGTAGTATTTTTAAGTGAGTTCTAAAATTCCAGGACATATACTTAAAATAAGACTTAATTAAACAAGTACAT